AAATGCATTGGCATCCCATCTCACATCGATTTATATACTTCTTAATTTTTGGAGGAGAGGGGAAGTGACAATCGTATATCATCGTTCTCCTGCCGTGGAATTGCGGAGTTCCGGTGGGAAACCTCGCCTTTGCGGAACATCCCGAAGTCGTCGGGTGAAGAACGAGTTCGGGAGATTCTGATGGGAACCCGAACTCCTCACTGGACACAGAAGACTAACCAGATTCATTTCAAATAACATCAAATAACCAAAAGCCGAGCCGGCCGTGCCCCGGCAAGTACAACTTGAGAGAGGAGGGGGTGAACGAAAGGTAGCAGGCAATCACAAGCAACCCTGGTAAAAGTCCATGACGGCGTGAACCGGCGGAGGGAGGATTTGATCCAGGGCCCCCCCCCCCCCCGACGAATAGAATCAACTCTTACAGGACCAAACTCAATGCACAATCCCAACTCCTGATTGTAATACATTATTGCTAAAGCAAGGAGAACTCAGGTAGCTCAAGCTACCTTTCGTGATGACTCTTCCTCCCCCTCGTCCTCACGTCCACACCTCCGGTTGGTCTTCGAACTTCACTTCGTGGCCGCGGTGGTCCTTCAGCGTGTGGTGCGCCTGCGCTGTTCGGGTCGTCAGTTGCTTGGTCTGAGAACTTCTCCGAATGCTTGGGCTCCAAAAACAGCCCATGCCATTTTAGGAAGGATCTACTACTGATTTGATCTTCCCAGCCCGTACCTTTTCACCCTTTCCGTAAGACAGAAAATGCTGAGGTTCCGCTGATCTGCACCGAAGATGCTCAGTGGTTTGATTGGTCCAAGTACTGTTGGATGCTCCCAAACATGGCACAAACAGGCTGTGCCCTCCATCTCTATACTAAGATTTGGTTCATGAAATATACTGTACACTTGAAACCGCCTTCATGAATAAAGCTGTTGCGAACGTCAATCCTTCCCAAATCAGTGCCTGAGAAAAATCCTCATGGCTCAGCTTGGCTTTGGCCCTGCACCAAAAGAAACAGTGAATGGAGCATCCAGCATCCGAGATCATATGAACATATATGAACATATTCAACATATCAACATATGCAGTACACAAATATATACCGTTTGGACTCTCAAAATACCAAGCCCATATATTTCGTTGGAACCCAGGCCACACTCGAATCATCTCTGAGAAACACAGAGAAAGACCTGGTGTCACACCTCAACTTCACCACCAACGGAGGGTTGGGCTTTTGGATGGCCTTGGATTGGGCCTTGGTCCTGGTGCCTTAGAACTCACAGCATGTGCCCAGAACGCACAGGGCTCTTTTGGTGGCACTGTGCGAGTCTCTGCCTCAGAAGCGCTCTTTTCACGAATCTCTGGCGCAAAGGAACGTCAAAAGAACCAAGAGATCGCAGGTTCTATGGGCATCAAAAGCACATGCTTGAACAGCACTTGTGCCCCCATGAAATGCCTTTGCAATGTACAATCGGGATCAATCAGGTATGGTTCCCCTCTTCTGCTGCCTGTCCCGCACTCTGGTGATGGGGCCATATGTGGTGCCTGGAAGCCGCCCCTGAGCCCTGCAAAGTCCGATCCAAGTTGTGGTTCCGGGGTCTCCCCAAGATTTGTTGTCAGATGATTAAGACAAAGGTCAGCATATGTGTCTATTGATCAACAAACTTCAAGCTTGGCAAGTGAGGTTGAAAACGGTCAACAACGAAAACGGGCCAGGTCTCGAAAGATTGGACCAGCGAACAACGAAGCGCGGCAGGTCTCCAGCGAACAGCGTCGAACAGCGATGTCTCCAGGTTGGCCCAGTGAAAAGCCATGTCTTAAATTGCATCTCAAATGATCTCAGGATGTCTCGGCTACTTCGGAGTGGATGATGGGTAGGGTGGCCAGGGTTTGAAAGGTTTAACCATATATCCGATTCATCAGGATTTCAAAGGCATGTGCAACGTTCAAACCCTTCAGTTTCAGAACAGCATGTTGCTTCTAAAGCGTCTTGCCGGCCAGGGTACCGATGCACTGCCCTCCAGCAGCACATCCCAGGAACTGCTGTAGATGGCAACCAGGTGAACCTGCTTCCGACAGGAATGGGTCAAGACAGAACATCCAGGGTGACCGTTGAATTTTCACGAAGCTCCGGAGCAAAAAATATGAAAAGATTAAAACAACAAGTCTTTGAACTCTTCTGTTCCTCTGTTCCAAAATATTTCAAAAAGTGTTTCAGTGGTCTCACTCACCTGGCACACGCCATGAACAACCCGGAACCAAGCGAAACGCCATGAAAACGCCATGAAAACGCCATGAAGGCCGTGCCAACAACAACATCCCCCCAGCACCGCGGTTGTCCACTTGCTCCACCTCAAACGATCACCGAGGAGGGCGTGGCCACTCCAACAATTTCGCCAATCAGCGCTCGGGCCACGTCTGGGACGATCATGGGCACCAAATGTCCTCGGAGTGGAACCGGTTGCGTCCGGTTGCGTCCGGTTGCGTCAGGTTGCGACATATGGATACATATGGAAGAATTCGTCCGGTTGTGTCTGGTGCCAGTGAGGATGGATGGATGCAGAGGTGCCAAGTGGGGTGGTGGGGAGGCGAGATGCTAGACAGGCGGTCGTTTGAAGCATGCTCTGCGCGAAACAATTGAAACATACTTGAAAACATCATGTGACATTAAAGGCAGCAAACATGGAAACGGCAAAACATTTTTTGCGAGAGGATAGTGCTTATCAGGCGGTTGATGGAAGAAATCCTGCACCACCAAGTTTACCACCAAACACTGTAAGTTACGTTGTGCCAGTATCTCTTTTCCTTCCATGTCTTCCACATGTCCACTTCCATGCAGTCCATGCATCTTTTGTGAAACTTACCAACGCCTTATTATAACACTGCCAATCCCGGGCCAACTTCCGCCACTGCCGCCCCACCTGTGTACAGCACCGTGTAGTAGCTCAAGGGGTGAGCGGAACGCTTGTAGCCTGCAATTGTTCCCCAGCGTGGCTTTGCAAACATGTTTTGCAAAACATCTTCGCACAGGTATCTTTCCTGCGACAATCGAACTGACTTTGCAGGAAAGGCCAGTGTTTTTTTCACCCGCAGATATGTAGAAAATGTCCTGAGATCTCTCTAGCGCGAACCAACACACTCGCAAATCCCTGAGCACACGGTGGGAGGGTGCAGAAAAGGCAATAACGAATGAGGTGAAATGATGTTCGGGCGAGACAAGCTCCAATGTCTTGCAGCTTCATACCGTCCCATCCCCAATATGTCAGTAATTCCACATCAACCCCCTTCCAATGTACCCAACTCAACTCCCAGCTGAACCTGTCCACTTCACCCGCGGTCGTCGCCCCGGTCGCCTGCCAGCTGCCCTAAAGGACGCCACGGCTCGGTCGCTGCGTCCGCAAAGGCGCTGCGGCCGGGCCACTGCAGGGCCTTCCTCGGTGAAGCACATCCGCCACACGCGTGAGACCCTGGGGGGAACAACCAATTCCTGTGATGTTTGGAGCATGGGCTTTGAGCAACGCGGGTTCCTTGTAACCCAGCTATTCCCGAAAGCTAGGTTGACCTTTGGCAATCACTCCGGCCAGGTCATCATGCTAATGAAGCCGATTATTTGTCTCCCAAAAAATGGCATCGCAGGGACAACACTGTGTTTTACCCAGGTCCCACTTTCTCCTGAAATCAGCCTATAGATCTATATAGCTATATAATTCTTGTAATTACGCTATATATATACAAAGAGAGAGGGAGAGTGTCTTCTGCATATTATGTGGCTAGCAAATGTTGCATCTCACTCAGTTTGTGTAAGAATGCAACCGCGTTTCTGGGAACGTACCAAGGGGTTCCAAAGAGGGCCCCTTGCCATCTATTGGCACCCCATAGGGTGTCCTGATACAATATCTCTTCGTAGTGAAGATTGTGGAGTTGCTTGTGATGTGTAGTTACCGTCTTCAGTGGATGCTATTAGGCTATTGCGAATTTTTTGTTTCCCAATCTATGCTGGCTGAGGGGCAAGGAGAGCAAGTTGCCCAAATGGTTGCAAACCTCAGCAGCTCTCTGGAGTGGTAGAGTGGTTACCACAATCCAGGCCACTCCTCACTTAAGAGGTGCTGAGTGCACACGCCAGACGACCTCTCCCGGTCGACATCTCCGGCAAAAAGCATGAAAATGCCATCCTCCATCAGTGAAAGCAAACTGGAACAGGTGGAAACTGAACATTTGGAGATCTTAAGAATCATGTTCCGAAATACAGACCTGCACTTTCTTGGGTGGCCGTGGTCTGCGCAGGTGCAAATGTGAACAAACAACTGGATCTCATGGTGCGCGTCTGCTCCTGACAGGAGCTGCCTGGGCCCCAGGCTGAGCCATCCCGGACGCCGTTGTAACTCACCACCTGGTAGCCTCCAGTCTTGCCGGCCATCCGAAACCACGGCTCAAACCAAGCCCAATCCACAAACACACATTGTCTCCTAACTCAGAACAGCCCGTCGATTATGGCGACCGGTCGCAGAACTGGTTTTGGTGGTTTTGCTCCAACCACCCGCGGACGCAGCATCGAGCATTCAAAAGAAAAGTCTCCTCCGCCCAAACGGCCTTTCTCGAGCAAGGCCTCGATGACACGCATTCCTCTCAGCGACAAACGCGGCGGCAGCTTAGGCCGCAGACGGCTTGGAAAGGAAACGGCTTTACGATGGGCTGATGCTTTTCCAAACAGTCCTGTTCCCCTACTCTGAGTGTACTCTAGGCACTGAGAACCATTTGGAAACGATTCATATCTTCAATTGGAAGACTCGCCACCTGAGTCGGGCCCAGGATCACCCAGGATCCGGACGTTATACCCCAACGGAGGCAGGGAAATCGATCCAAACGTTTGGACTCCAAGGTGTCATTCGATTTGATGTTTTGGCAGACATTCAACACCCGGACAACACTTGCGAAGCATGCAGCATGCATCTCAGTTTGATACTCATATCGGGAGGTCCATCCTGTTCCGATGGATTGCAATCTTCTCAGCCATGCCTTCCCGGTGACATCAGCCAACCATGTTCCCTCCCATCTACCCCAACCGCTTGAGCTCGTTTTCGGCTCCCCGGACCGCCGGACCGGCCCGGGGAGGGTGAAAACGGCGCGGGACCGTTTCGGGTGCCTTGCTCCGTCTCGAAGTCTGCCAGCAAGGCATCCGCCACAGGGCCGGTCTCGTCGCTCTGGCGCCACGTCCTCGCTGGAACGGCACGGGGTACCGGGCACGGGGTACGGGGTGCAAGTCCGTATGCCATGTCGATGTGCATCGAGCCACAAAAAGAACTGCCATGACCAAGGCAATATGAATGAATGGCCCATGACACTATCCTCACTCTCAACCTCAACTGTGCCCTTTGCCCAAGATCTCCTGAGGCCAACATGCAATGCCTCGCGGGTCGGAGCGCTGTTGAGATACTTCGACAGCTGGTCGGTGATGCGATCCAGAAAGCTGGCATCTGGCAGTCCTGAAGCCCAGAGTTTGACCAACAGAAGACACTCATACTTACAATCCTACACCATCCACAAAATATATTCCCCGGTGAACAAAAGACAACTCAACTTGCAAGGCGTTGGAATCCATGGAAATTTGTAAGGTGCAAAACAAGGTCAGACCATCAAATGGGATCACCAACCCGAAGTAGACTCTAAATGTGAGACACACCTAGTATACGAAATTGTAAAGTCAAGATTGAAACGCTCAACTTAAATGTGAACTATCAAATGACAATCCTTTTGACCAACAACAATCCCAGCGGAACACAAAATGAAATGCAACAAGAAACACATCTACCACAACACGATTCACTGTAAATGTGCATTTCCATGAAAACTGAGTCCTGGTTTCTTCTGCTTACGAGTGTTGATCTTCAAAATATTGGAAAAATGTGGTGTTGAATGTTCTACACCCAGTACCTTCACTATAGAAGAACCACAATGCTCTGTTGAAAAGGTAAGAAACAACAAAAACCCAATCTAGTGCGCAATGGGGCAGGGTAATCCACACAAGTGGCCCCCTCTTCGTTGGTCTTGGATTATGATATTGAGAAAGGAACGAGGCAGCGAAGGCAAACATGAGTCTCTTTGCACTACACCTGGACACCTGGCAAACCCTTTTACACACGTAGTCACATAGTGCATTTCCACCAACATTCTGAGCCGCAGGCCGAGGTCATAGTAGAAAACGCCACCCGCACTCTTGTTGCCTCAGGACAAGAATGGGAGCCCCATCGTTGCAGGACAAAAAAAAACAGAAGCTCGAAGTACTTGAGGGGCACCCGTCATACCAACTTGCGATATTTACGTCACCTGTCTTGTCTCACCAGTAATTAGGTTCCTGCACGTTCCATGTCACAACTTCATTAGTCACTGTATTTTTTGCGCCGGCCGAGAATCACCCCAGCGGCAGCGTAGCCAAAAAGCCCCAGGAAATAGAACATTCAAAATCTATGTTCGTACTGTTGTGAGTTGGTTATAGAATGAGTTAACTTAATCAAAGGCTACAATATTATATACATATATTATGTGCAAAGGCCTCCGCGGATTTAAGTCTTGGCATGATTATTTGTTTGTACAGTCACACCGTATATATTTGGATTACCCCATTTCCAAAGAACTAAATCCTGAACTATTTGGAAGCTGGGATGTCGCCCACCAGAAAAGTTAAGCATGAAGTCTGCGAAGCCCTTTGCAGGTTCCATGCTTCAGCTGTTGGTGATCTTTGTTCTCGTGATAAGCTAAAATGACCGAATAGTCATTGTCCCTAGCTTGATGGCCTTCAGCCACACGCGGTCCTGGAGCTCCTTGAGACAGCACGCCAGGACGGCCGCGCCGGGCAATGTCAACCAAATCCCTCTTGTGCTCTGACCAGGTTTGAGTGTCAACGCATTCGAAGCTCCACCCCAAAGAATGGCACTACGGTTTTTCACCTCGATAAAACTCTACAATATTGGATTATGGGGAGAGAAAAGCATGTCATTTCCGCAAATGCAAGCGGTTCAATTCCGCCAAAACCCGCTCTCAAATACCATTGAACTTGTTCCAAACACATGATCCAGTCCAATTGGTTAATCCCCGTGAAACAAGCTTGTCCAAAAGAAAAACAGTGAAAACATGCCGAAGTCAACAAAACCCATTCATTTCTGCTAATAGGTGAAGCTGGCCCAGTCCTGGTGGGTTGAACACATGATGTACCCAAGCAGTTCATCACACATGGTGGACGCATTCATCTTCACCACACATGAATCATACCCCCAAATATGATCAACCCCAAGGCTACCAAACAGCCAATAACACACCAAAAGGCCCCGGTTCACCGCGACGGAAAAACGATGGTTCGAAAACCCAGGCGGCTCGCATAGAGCCATCGGACGGAGTCTTCACAGAATTCTTCGGCTTCCTTTAAAGATCCCTCCTGGCGTCCAAACCCGGACGAAACACCGGGTCGCGCTGATATGTTAGCGCGGCAAACACGAAGGTCGGAGATGTTCGTCACTCCGGTTTGTTTTAGACCAACCGGAAGTGTGAGAATCGGAGTTCTAAAGTCAGTCATTGTTGTGGGCTGCTATGTGTTTGACATTATACTTTGTCTATATACATATCTACAGTATACATATATTTACGTTATTTATGTTATATATGTAATATATACATTATACACATATCTTAATTTATAGACGCACAGTATGTACCGTCTTTTCGAGTTGCTTTTTAGTTCTACAGTATCTGTTGACTCACGAGTGATGCACTTGTCAAGTTGATTTGCATGTCTATCCATTTGGGGACCGCTCCCCATGTTTACTATTATGGTTTACCTATGAGTATGGATAGTGAGCAATCAATACACGCGAAGAAAACACACGCCGCTGCTTGGAGCAATCTGGAGGGAACCGTTTATCTCGAGAAACACTGAAATTGTGGATGCGGTGGGGGTTCTGAAATTTGGGTCTTTCACAAAACCATCCCTTGGTGATTTCTGGATGCCGCATACCTTCGAAACACTGAAGAGGATGGCCATCAAGGCGACCAACACACTACCATCATCATTGTACCACGGAGAGCAAAATCAAAATACCCCTAGTATCCCCTAGTAACGAGGCGATTCATCTTTCACTTTCACCCACTGGTTGAGGACCCCTCTCATCTTACGACACAAGCTCCTTTTCCTGCCACATTCCCAACCCCTTCATGTTTGATCCACGGCTGAAAGATAAGAAGGCACAAAGACCAGCGGCTTTCGTCGATTGTTATGCACCTGGACATTGTGAAGCCGAAGCAGGTTTTACCGGAACGACATGCATTGACCAACCACGAATGAGCCACCATCGACGCCATCGACACGATGCCAGGCCTCGATGAGCTGCACACAATGCTGGAACTTCGTCTTGGCGGCTTCGTAGCCGCGCTCGTCGATGACCCCGGACGCGTAGGCAAAGTCCTTGGCGGGTCCGCAGGTCTGCCCACAGCGGGTGAGCTGTGGATCAGTCTTTTTTGGAACACTGACCGGTTACCATCCGGTTTGCCTGGCTTTTGGATTTCGAAGGCCAATACTCTTGAGGGGCTCGAGGATTGCGCAAGGCAATTTCTCCCAGTCTATCTCATAAAGATACAGGCTGACATGGTGCACAGTAGGAGGCGATGACTAAACTCAACGAACTCTGTTTGTAGCAGATTGTAGCAGGAAATCACCATTACAGTATATATTAATATATAACCACTTCTTTCTCTACGTCCATGGTTTCCTTAAAACGGTGCACCGCTGGCGACCCCACGGTCACCAGGTGCATACCGCATGGTCGCACACATCGACGTTCGGTGTCTCGTCATTCCTCAGGGGCGCTGGGACGGTTGGAGCCTGGATCTTCCCGCTGTAGACACCATTGCCTCAAGCGTTTGGAAGACTGGAAGATACTGGAAGACTGGAAAAACCATGAAAAACCATGAAACACATTGAAAAACCAGTCTAAGATAGTCTAAGTATGTCTAAGTACGTATCGGCTGGATAGGAGTCACGAACGGAGGAAGTAGGGTGCCGAACGAACGGAGGAAGTCGGGGTGCCCACTGTCCACTCACTTAGAGACTCAAAATCACCCCTTTGTGACTCCTGGTTGGTATATCTTCGTCATCTGGGGTGCCTGAGTCCTTGGTTAGCTTGATGACGGTCCCGCGCAGTTCAGAGGTGTTAAAGTTGTGCCTTCTTGATCTTCTTGCGTGTTTGATGTGATCACAGTGCTTGGCAGCCTCTTCATCTCCAATCAGAAAAGAACCCAAAAACATATGCATACACAAAACATCAACAAAAACGCCTCGCTTTCTGCGTTGGACCCCAAAGTATTGTCCTCTTCGACCTGATGCCCCCCGCTTCCACCAAGCAAGGGGCCAATGATCACCCCCTTCAATGGCAGCTCACCCCTCAACTGGATCTCGTATGCCACGTTGGGTACGTACCTGGCCGAAAACGCGGCGCCTCGATCATGGTCCGGCCTTGCACCTCCGTGCCGCTCGCGACAAGCTTCCCAGCGCACTTGCCACCATAGCTCTCGCCAGTGACCCACAGCGGGTTCCTGCGACGAATGCGGGTTCCATGCACCGGTCACGATCTGTCACCGGCAAGTCATTTTGGGAGAACCCCCCTGAATGTCCCTGGACAAGGGAAAATAGACTAGACACGCAAAAGCGTGTATAAAAGAACTGAAACCAAAGGGTTTGATGCCATCGCCAAAACCATTTGCAGATATTTGCAGTATATAGAGAAACATCACCCTATCAAAAAGTGGTGCAAACAACACAACAAACTAACCGATTGGTGTGCGATCTCCCTAGACTTTGGATCTCGGGTTCCATATTATGTGTGTTTTGATGGAGAGTCAAGCATCTCTTTACTGGTCCAAACTCAACCTTCGGGCAACTGGAAAATAAAAACGGGTATGCGGCTGGTTGTCACATCTGACCAATCATCGTCCAATTGACGTGAAGTTGCAAAAACATGCAAAACCGATGTTCAGTCTCGGTGGTCACCCCTCCCAGTCGTCACCACCGAGTGGTCTGAGGATCATCCTGGATCCGTGCGGCCACATCAATCCACCAACTTACCAAGCCATTGCAACAACCAAGCCTTCGAACCATCCATGCCAGGAGCCCCTAGTAGCGTCCTTGCTCCTAGTAGCGATGCCAGGAGCCCCTAGTCGCGTCCTTGCTCCTAGTGGTAAGGCACCAACTTACCAAGCCTTCGAAACCCCCATCCTTGCTTTCACCAAGCCATGCAAAAAGGAGCTCGCATCCTCCCTTTTTCGCGGTTGCTATGCTCCAGTTCGCACGGTTTTTCTCTAAAGGACTCGGTGTGCCCAGGGGCCCGGTCTCGGGGTGTCTTAACCGAACAGAAGTGACGTGCCACATGGTCACTAAGTCAACTGAGTCTCCTCATGTATTCGGGATGCTTCTTGAAGAAGACCTTCAAGGCAGTGTAGAAGTCTTCGCGCATCTCCTTCTCTGAGGTGACATAGCTCCTGAGGTGACATACACGACTTATGACGACTTGTTCGCCGGCCCCCCAATTGAATTTGCCCGGCCCCTGCATCGTTTGAGAGAGGAATCGTGAACTTCAAACAACAAGCAGAATCACTGTTGACAGAGTTGAGTCCATGTCACACATCATGTAAGACCCTATCCATTCCCCATGAACTTCAATACACATCCCAACTTGAGCACAGGCAAACACCTGGCCCTCCGCATCCCTCCGCCCTGACACAGTTTGACCCGGACCCTTCCGCCATGCCCCCTCAGCATGCCGGACCTCGGCACGGTCCGAACGACGGTCTGGGGCCCCACACTTCTTCCCGGTGTAGCCTTGGGGTCCCGACACCCGGAGCTCGGCACACCGTCACCGTGGATGACACGGAGGTCGACGGGGCAGTTGAAGCCCAAGATGCCAGAATTCCAGCTTTTCTCTCCCCAGACAGACTAAAGGAGGAGGGAAAGAAACACTCCATTCTCCCAAAATACCACGAAAGAAAGCGAGTTTCTTAGTGTGATCTCTGGACTGCCATGCATATTGGCGTCGGTGAGATCCCTGAAGAATGCTCATTGAGTCTTCGGGATGTCTCAATCATGCAGAATGCATTCAAACAGCTTCCTCTACAAGCTTGAGATGCTAGACATCTGCTGCCGGGCCATTTGCGAGAAACATATTGAGATAAATCTGTATGCCCTCATACTGGAAGGTAGCTTGTGGTTATCTCCCATGATAGAAAATTGACTCCTGTTTATCTTTACTTCATCCTGGATGAAGAACTTGGTGACAATTCTTCGATATTCTTCGAATCCCAAGGTGCTGAAGCCAGAGCCCACGGGATTATCGATGACCATGACCTGGCAAACAGTACACTTGAGTTCCCCCGCAGATGGGCGCTGGGCGCTACAAAAGAAACAAGAAGAAGGATAGAAAAAGGGGGTACACCCACACCAGCAGGCAATAACAGGCATTCATTCACTTTCGCAGGGGGGATATCATCCCAAAGTGGTGGGTGGTGCTTGACAGTGACCATTCAACTTGGAACTACCCGGATTCGGAAAAGGGAAGTATATAGTCAGTCGTTTTCCAGTTCCACTTCTGTGTTTGGGAGAGTAGGGTGTGTCCAAATGATGCTTTGGTCTTCAAGATACACACACACCGTCAAAATACCTATAACGTCCTATAAATCCCTTCCCAACGGATCAGAAAGCCTTCCCTGCTTGGAGATTCATTTATCGGGCGACATCATGTTAGCAATGTATCATCCATCCAGTCCATCCATATCAAACCCATGAATCCCCTGCCAAGTCATTCCCCTCCGTAGCTGAGTGGCATTGTAGTCATTGGACCACGCGTGGGGGTTCTCTTTCAGAAGCCCATCGCTTTGGTCCATGGTGAGGGGCCCAATGTTCTCCACCTTGGTCCATGAGGGCGGAGGAGACCGAGGTCCTCCCCTCCGGGGATATGGAAAACGATGTCTTCGCCTCTTCCGCCCTGATCAACCCAGTTCGTCTCGCCAGTCTGTCTTACGCAGATGGCCGATGGGACCTCTCCCCTACAAGTACCGAGCATAAAGCCATGCATAAAGCTTCAAGACTCGGGGCTCCTGCCAAAATAGTGATGTAAAACTGGAATTCGTGACACAAAACAAGTTGGACTGGACTCTTGGATGGGAGGCGCATAACCTCTCCATACGGACGAGCTCGCTTTCGAACGTTGCCCGCCATTATTGAGAACGCGCTGCAAAAAAGAAAATCCGCCGACCCCACTCGTGGGGTCAGGCGTGACTGTTGATTAAGGCTAAGGCTAAGGCTATACCTCCCCTACCCCTCCAAAACCTTGTTGCAGTGACGAAAAGTAGCCAAGATTTGTGCAAGATTTGTCCAAGATTTGCTTCTTACTGGCAATTGGGGCACCCTCCCCACCCGCGCGGGAAAATGCACGGTCCCTAAATGGTCCCGGACTCAGATCCCGGGCTGGTCGCGGCCTGGTCTCTGCCAGTGCCCTTGGCTTTTCCTAGATTTTGTAACGTTTTCCGCTGGATTTCTAGGATTTTCAAAGGTTTTTGTAACATTTCCTCATGCCCTTCAGACCTTTTGCGAGGGTGTTTTCCAGCATTTCCTCTGGTTTCTCTAGGTACTTGTAAAGGCTCCGTGTTGTTTTTTGGGTTCCCAGATTTGCAAAGAAAAATGCTAACCCAGTTTCCTCCACTTGCAAACGTTTTCCGCTGGATTTCTAGGATTTTCTAAGGTTTTTCTAAGCTTTACTCATGCCTTTCATGCCTTTTGCGAGGGCTTTTCCAGGATTTTCTCTGGTTTTTCTAGATAGTTCTGTGGTTGTCTAGGGGCTCCATGTTGTTTTTTGGGTTCCCAGATTTTCAAAGAAAAATGCTAACCCATTTGCCGTGCTCTCTTCTGCCTACTTTGGTGATGCAGTGACAGATCATGTCTCTAGGGGGTCCGTGTTGTTTTTTGGGTTCCCCGATTTTTCGAAAATAACTCTTCACCCATTATTCATTAAACCTAGGCCATCCACTTCCCTGGGGTCGGCGGCTGCCAGGCGTTAGCCTGGTTAAATAAACTTGGTGCTTATTTTGTTATACAGCCAGTAACAAGAAGCTACTAGGGGCTCCTGGCCTTACTACTAGGAGCAAGGACGCTACTAGGGGCTCCTGGCCTTACTTCTAATAACAAGAAGCTACCAGGGGCTCACAACTGCACCCAGGATGAACTGCGTTTCGCCAAGCCACCAGAAGCCCCGTGATGCTGGAGGCACCCGGGCCACCGTTCATCCAAATGACGTTCGGCGTGACCTGCGGATCGGCGCTCTCGGCATACGCGTCCGCGGGCGGGTCGGATGGCGCCGTCTTATCGTCGCCGGGCCTTCTGGGTGAACGAACTACTGACAGAAAGGCTGGATGTGTGCTCCAAGGGTCGACCACTTTCTACTCCGGGTCAGGGTCAGACTAGTCCGCTGACAGCCTGAAAGATCGAACGGAAGAGGGTATCGAGAATTCCAAGGGGTCAAGGGGTCACCGAATTCTTTTGTTGGTAGCCTGCGTCATCCTGCGTCAAAGTCATGTGGGAACCCCCATGGAAGCCCAGCATAAGGCATGTCATTGTGACTCCAGGTGTATGAGTTGTTACTAGAATCCACCAAGAGGCTCCAGGTTTGTTGCCATTGGCCGCCTCCACAAACCAATAGAAGAGCTGCCTCCGCGGTTTGTGGCAGCATAAGACCCACCCAACCAAGGCTTTTCATTCTGCGGATTCCGTGAGGCCATCGCTCTTAGGTTGGAGGCCATTGCTACTGGGATGGAGGCCATCGCTCTTAGGTTGGAGGCCATAGCTCTTAGGTTGCAGGCCATCGCCATCGCTACTAAGGGCCTTGCATGTCACCGAGCTGACTGGTGCGACTCGGGGAATGAGGGTCTCATCTGGATCCTTTCATCTATGGAGGGCAAAACGTTCCACATTCCCTGCTAAGAACCAGTCTGGGATATCACCATGTTGGTCTATTTTGCTTCAAAATGCTTCCAGAATCAGCTGGGACACTCCCGGTCTGATGAGCGTGCATAACAGCACCTCAACTCTGCCTCTTCTGTTCGCATCTCACCAACCATCCCCTTCCATAAACCCTCACCTGTTGCAGTCGCTCCGATGCTTCCCTCCCATCACCGCCCTCAGCCGATCGCCCTCGCCCCATCCAAAGTCCATTTAGTCCATCACTTCCCAGCCAAAGGAATCAAGACCCGACAGAGGGCTCCAGTCGTACCTCCTCAGATTGTGCTTTGGACCCTCTGGGCAAACTCCCCAATTTCAATTTGAAGGAAACAGTCAGTTTGTGTTAGCAAGCCAGTATCTAATTACAATTAACTATATTAGGATACACACAGTATGTCAGGTACACACACCTTTTTAATCCTTTTTAGCCATCAAAAACACATCAAAATAACACGACACACATGACTCGCCTCGCCTCTCTTCGGTGGCATTCACCTCCGCGAAGCCGGCAAAGTGCTTGTTCCTGCGGAAGAGCTTGTTCGCGTTCGGACATCGGCCGCGGGGCGAGCCGAAGCGGAGGCATGGGCTCAGCTTCGGCCAGGTGTTGACTATCAATGGGCACAGTGTGCCCGAAAATGTTGGGGGCTTCAGGGTTCTTCAATGGGAGCTTCATTCCAAACTATTTCAACAAATACGTATTAATACTATTTCATATTATTATGCAGTTGTTAGTTCCCCCCTCTCATTCCCCCTCCTCTCCTCAGCTTCGTGACGTTCGGCAAAGCGACCACCGCATCGTCCGGCAGCACAGCCAGAGCGCTGGAGGCCAGTGCAAGGAGGCGCCACATCGCGAAGAGGGGACGAAATGGCTCGCGCGTCGCGCCCCGAGAGCTGTCTGCACCGCTCTAGAATCTGTGGAGCTTATCAACCATTTTGGGGGACCAGTCTGTTGCCGTGTTTCGATTCCCGTGGAGAGAATTCTGTGACGCAACTGACTCAGGCCCAAACGGCTTTGCACACCTTACGTCTGGTGACCATTCAAAGTGTTTGACTCATTCATTGACATCCTCCTAGAACATGGCTGTACTTGGCCTTTGACAATCCTCATCATCCTCATCTCTCATGAACAAAAAGCGAACCAAATTGTCAAGACACCTTCAATACGCTCTCGAACAGTGAACGTGTCACACTCACGATCCCCTCTTCAAGCATGACCCTCCAGGAGTTCTGGTGTCCATACCGCCCACACCACCATCCAAGATTGCTGTCCACTACCACATCCCCACACATCAACATCCCCCAACACCATCAGGGTCTGAAGGAAGTGTACAAACAAAGGCGACGGTGGCAATCATTGACCTTTCAAGAAGCTGAGCTTACGAAATCTCCGATGCAAACTAAAAACCTACATCAACCTACACGACGTCACTTCGTCTCGCGTGGAAACAGCACCATCACGCCTGATGTAGCTCAAGGACACCACGCAGCCAAGTACCACGGTCCAGCCTTTTCCTGCCAGTGACCATTCGGTAATTGATCGCACGGACCGACTGATGCGATCACTGAGATCGCCCGCACTTGTGAGAGTTGCCCCGGGGCATTTTTCAAACTAAAACATGCACATGCACTTGCTGATGTCACCCACTCTTGTGCTGCCCCTTCTGCCTCAATCTTTAAACATTGTGAAGCTGAACATGTTTTTTTTGGACAAATGTCACCCGGTCTCTCTCATTCCGCCAACACGCTCGCGCCCAAAAACGCCTCCGAGTGCAAATCGCCGCTGCCCCTTGTAGTAGTCCGACATGCTCACGGCATCAGAACCAGGCCGCGTCTTCCAAAATTGAGGTCGCCCGGACCGGCTTTGCAGTGCTTGTGAGGAATGACTCCGAAATTTGTTGGAAAATGACCTGCGAGATCCTGCAGGGTCATTCTGCAGTCTGTGCGCTCTCGTCTGTGAATTGGAAGGGGCGGGTTGAGAGATGTTAAGAGATATTAACGGATATTAAGAGTATGTGTCCATCTACTTGCCACTTTTTTTTGGTGTTCCCCTCAGAAGCAAAAGGGCCAGGGAATAGGGCCGTGAGTTTGTGCCTGTCCCTTGGTGCCTCTGGAATGCAAGTCTTCCGTTTCTCCCACTGGGAAGTCGTGCGTGGCAAGCACAATGCCCCAACAAAAACTGTCTCTGAGTGTCTCTGCAGTCTCAAGCACAAGGCCTGTCTGGTTTCCTCCAATGTTCTCTAAAGTACCTCATGTTTCGTTGTCAGAGAGGACTCTTGGGCCATTTCGACAGGCGGTGTTTGCGCCGCGTGTCGTCCTCCGATGGTCTCCCCCCGTGGCACCGCGCGTCGACCGATCAGTTCCGAGAGCGAGTGGACCGCAAGGGAACACTGCTAGGGTCAACAGACACCGATGGACGGATCATTCATGGATCGTCCGTGGGTGACCCACAAAATGAGGTCAAACAGTTGGATGGGCTGCGTGCTCATCCGGCTGTCTGCAGCACGCGGCAGCAGCGGTCCAATCCCCAGGAGCCCCGTGCTTCACGGCCCATCGACCGGGTGGGGCGGTGCACAGCAGACCTGTGAGATCTGAATCCGTCTCAGTGGGTGGAAGTCACGGTGAACCGGTTTCAACAATCGTAGCCCGAACATCCACTGAAGGCTGAAGATATCACAAATCTTGGATGAATGATGAATGCAAGAGATACATGCGGAACAATTTATGATTGAGCCAATTCTCCCTTAGACTTGCTTCGGGTTTAGGATCATGCAACACATCTCCTTGGGAGGGTCCAGAAATATCCACAAAGGTCCTGCAGAAGGTCCTCTGATCAGCCATCCTGGCGCCCTAAGTCCTCCCCACGATGTCCTGCACCTCCAACGATGAACCA